ATATTGCAGGTGATAAGAGGGTTGTTGATGCCGGACAAATTGCGCAACCTAGTTCACTGCATGTGGTTGCGACTTCTTAGCGACTTTCGTCTCGCCGGATCATTCAGTTGGGGCTCGGTAGTTTTGGCCTTGCTGTACAGGGAGATGTGTGGAGCCACTGACTACAGGCGTAATGCCATCGGCGGATGTCTCCTGCTGTTGCAGTCTTGGGCATGGTATCGATTGACCTTTTTATGTCCCGTTGTGAAGAACCCATTCGTATTTCCACTACATCTGAGGTAATTATAAAACTGATTTTGTATATTAATAATTTTATACAGCGTATAATAAATTTTTTTCCTTGAATAGGTGGTCTACTGATAGAAAAAATCATCAGGAGCTACCTGATGATTTAGAAAAGATTAGGGTGTTAATCGATCAGAAGGCTGGCACACATGTATGAATTTTAATGTTTAAAAATCGATTTTAGATTATAGTTATATAATTAGATTATTATTTTGATAAAAATTATATATTATTTGTTTTAGTTTGAATGGGTGTCATATTCTACTGATGATGTGAGGGCGGTGATCCCACCTGAGTTGAAGGGTCCATTAGATGTTTGGATAGCGATGGTCCCTCTGATATGTTATGAGACCGTCGAGTGGCACTCCACTGATCGCGTGCTCCGACAGTTTGGTTGTTTTCAACCAATTCCGGAAGAACCTCGCAATATGGATGAGTTGCATAGCTTAGATAGACGTGGCAAGACAGATAAAGATTGGCCGGTGAGGCATCATGAGTGGGTCGTGTTGTGGGAGGATCGACATCGGCGCCTTCCACGTAGAGAGCCCATTTTTACTAACTTCTTGATGTATGCTGAGGATTATTATGAGTGGTTCAACAGTAACGGGAAACCGTTTCTACTTCCTGAAGATGCATGAGGGCAGACCTTTCCACGACGTTGATAGAGACGTTCACCGACACAACACCATCGTCCCCCGACTCGTGGACGGAGAGCAGGTTCTTCCGGTTCATCCTCAACTGCACCAGGAAAACCTTCCCAGCAGCCACCGCAGCCATATATGATGCCGCCATCGCCTTTCCATTACCAGATGCCGCCACCTTCACCCGGTTTTATGACCCTGCCACCGCCACCGTCACATATGACCCCTACTAGAGGCTATTATGGGTTTATATTTGCAGACTCGACTTGGGGTTCATATATTGGATATTTGGCGGGTTCAGTTTCATCACCCATGGCCGCAGCACAGACACCGCCTCCTGTATAGTTTTCACACTCAGCGATGTCTGAGTTTTATGACTTTTCCCAGTTTTCGCAGGCCGGTGGGATAGTCAGTCATACACCTCCAGGGTCTTTATTCTACGGAGGTACTTCATCGTCATCATCTTCTCATGTACCTGCGCAAGACGACGACGACGATGACGATGACGATTGTGATGATGATGACAGCGATGAGTCAAAACCAGTGATACGAAGAAATCCTCCTCGAGACCGACAGCAACCGCCCTGCGGAACACATTCTCCTCGGAGTTGAATTGTGGTGATTCTGAGTCAATGAACAGTCCAGTCTCAGCACCATCCGCACCAGGCTCACGAAGCGGTTCTTCTGGTGGAGATGATGGTTCCTCCATGCTCTCCACATTTAGGTCGAAGAACCTACTACTTGCACGCCTTCCCCTTGAACTGAAAGACATATCGACATTGAGATCGAAAAAGCTCGCAGTCGAATGCCTCCCCCTAGAGCTTGAAGCCATCGCGTCAAATGGAAACTGCACAAATGGTTGCGTCGATGGCATCTCCATATTAAGGTCAAAGGGATTTGCAGATGAATGTCTTCCCCTTGAACTGGACACGATGTTGCCATATGGATTGTTCGTCGACCTACCTCGGTACATATCGTAAGGAGTTGCGGATGAATGTCTCCCCATTATGGCATTAAAATCATTACACATTACTGTCGTCGGGCTGTCAACTTGATCAACTTGTTCAGTCAGCCCATAATGGGAGCTTAATGATTGACCCCAAACAACATGCACTTGAACAAAATGTGCATACATCTCAATAGCGGCGTCTGAATAATTACTTTGAGCTTCAACCATCATTTCAACATCATCATTGTTTGAAAGTTCGAACGTTGTATAAGTTAATGGCAACAATGATGTTGGAAATCTATACTGCAACGACGACACTCTTCTTCTACTTCCAACATGAATCTTCCTCGAAATCTTCGTTATAAGCTCCTCAAGAGTTATGTTTCTCTTGAATGATATTTTAACATGCTCATTTGATACGAAAATAACGCCGGTTTCATCTTCTCGAATTTCACCATCATAATAAACAATAGCTGAAAGTCGCGCCATTATTTGAGTTTAAAAGTACGGCACTATTATATCTGGAAAAAAAATGAAACAAACCTGATTTAATAAATTATATATGAACGAACATATAACAGCATAAAATTTTTACACATCAACGCTAATAAATTAAATAATATAATTTAATATTATTACCTGCACCGCAAAACTATTTCGACGTATGCTCCCGCTTTCCAATTTTACAAACACAAAAATTAATTGAAAATAATTAGTATAATATTTTTTTTTCAAATAATCATAATAAACAATAAATATAAAAAGAATTATAACAAAATTACCTTATAACGAAAAATCGCACGAACTTCTAAATAAAATATGAGAAGATTGCCAGAATTATTGACTCGTTGACGGAATTGTTGTATTAATTTATAAGTTGAGAGGAGAGATGTGAGAAATTAACCGGCGGAGAATGATATTTATAGCGAGGAAAATTATACAAAACGCGGTATCTGCCCCGCGCTATATAAAATTATGTCAGGAGTAAAGGTATGTCGCGGTACCTGCCCCGCGCTATACAAAATTATTAGGAGTAAAGGTATAGTGTGGTACCTGATCCGCGCTATACCCCTACGTGGCGTATAGCGCGCTTCAAGGGCCGCGCTATACCCACGTGGCGCCAGCTCACCGTATAGCGCGGTGCAGGGGGCGCGCTATACCCACGTGGCGCCAGCTCACCGTATAGCGCGGTGCAGGGGACGCGCTATACCCCACGTGGCGCCAAATCATCGTATAGCGCGGTGCAGGGGGCGCGCTTTACTGCTAAGGGTGTTAAATCGGGAAATATAGTCTGACCGGTGTTAGATCGATAATATTACCGGTCACCGGTGATATATCGGAAAAATCACCGGTAAACTATGTATTTAGTTGTCTAATTATTTTTATAATTTCATTTTAGTTACTCATTTATTTTCTTTAAAATCATAAATCAAAATTATATTTTTATTTTATATTATCATTTATTGTTAAAAATAAAATTATTTAAGTGATATTTTTAAAATTTTTAATAATGATCACATAAATATTAATATTAATTTTTAAATGACAGATAATTAAAATTAAATTAAAATATAATTTAAAAATTAAATGGTCAAGTTATAATCACATAAATAATTAAATAATTAAATACATATTTTAGCTTATAATTAAATAAACAAAATATCAAAAATTATTTTTATATATATTAAATTTAATCTTAATTGTACGTAAAAAACTTCAGAAAAAAAAGAAGAATACTCCTACTAAGTTTAAAATTTATAATTTAAAAAATATAATAAAACAAAAATAAATAATTTAACTAACCAATCCTCGCCAAAAATGTCCATAGCAGGCATTGAGAGTTCCAAAACATGAAATGAAATCCAGCTCATTATAAAATATTTTATGTATAAATAAATTAATATTTTAGTATAAGACGATCTAAGCCATGGTTTTCAGAATCGGATCGGTTAGTGAATCGGTCATATTACCGGTTCACTGGTTCAACCGGTCGAATCGGTTCGATAGGTCGAAAGAACCGGACGACGTCATAATTATTTAAAAAATTAAATAAAAATATTCAAAGCAAGTTATAACATATATAAGTTAAAAACCATAAAATAAAGTGAAACAAAATGATTCAAATTAACTACAACATAATATTTAAGGTAAAACATATTAAATAATAAATATAATTATATAACTATAATTAAAAAAAATGGGTTAAAAAAATCATAACAAAATGATATTGTTTGGTTTAATTTTTTTTAAAAACAATCCCACATGGTTAAGAAACATAGAAGAGTATCCCAAAAGTCTAAAGAGTAAAAATATGAGAACAAAACAATCTCACATTGCTAAGAAACATAGAAGCGCATCACAACTAATTTCTATAAATAATAGAGGTAATTTGACATTCAAAATCATGGAGCCTTTTGGTGAGCATTGAGTGAACTATTCTTTCACTTCAATCAAGCTCGAATTTTAGGCTTCAATCGAGTTTCTAATTTTTTTTTAAGTTCAAGTTTCAATATTATATTTCGAGTTTGAGTTGAACTTGATAATTTTTAGCTTGTGAGTTTGAGTTGAGTTGAGCTTACTTTTAAAGTTTTCAAGTTCGAGTCGAGCTCAGTAATACTCGAGTTCGATTTGGCTCGTTTAACAAACGACGTTGTTTGGTTTAATTTTTTTTAAAGAAAAAAACAAAAATCCCGATTTTTCCCGGTTTTCAGCCCGTCCAGTTTGAACGGTTCAGCGGTTCTGATCGATTCACTAATAACGATTCAACCGATTTAAATTAAACCGAACTAAACAACAATTCTCGATTAAACCGATTAAACCAACCTATCCGATTTTCAAAACAGAGATCTAAGCTGATAATCAGAATCTAGGAATCAAAGGGAGGGGTGGTCCAGAGATTTGAAGGCAAAGAATGTCACGTGTCCAGTAAATGCTTTGCATGGGCCATGATTCAGGTCTGTTGCTCCATACACACGACACTTTCCCCTTCTTTTAAAACAAAAATTTTCTTCTCTAAGTACATACAATCCCCCACTACAATCCCCCCCCCCCCCCCCCAATTGCTTGATTGCACAGCACCCAACTCACTGAACAACAAACACAAGTCCTTTGCTCATTGCTCACAAGAGAAATGCCTGAAGGCCTCTCCTTCTTCTTCTTCTTCTCTGTTCTGTGATGGAAACAAAGATCTGAACAAATTTTGGGGGTTTTTTTTCGGTGGAACAGAATGGGTTTGAATCATCAAGGCTCTTCCTTTATTTTCGATGCTCTTTATTGTTTGGAAGAACAAGAAGAAGAGGATCGTTGTTTCGATAATGGGATTGTTAATAAATCTAACCCTTTTCCAGTTTTGATTGAACAAGACTTGTTCTGGGAAGAAGATGAACTTTCCTCTTTACTTTCCAAGGAGGAGCACAATCAACTCTTATACAGCATTCAAGCCGATGGAAATGTAGCTGAGGCTCGCCGGGAAGCTGTGGAATGGATGTTGAAAGTCAATGCTCACTATTCCTTCTCCGCTCTCACCGCCGTTCTTGCCATAAATTATCTCGATAGATTCTTGTCGAGCATCCGGTTACAAATCGAGAAGCCATGGACGACTCAACTAGCTGCAGTCGCTTGTGTTTCTCTTGCAGCCAAAGTGGAGGAAACCCAAGTGCCTCTCCTACTGGATTTACAAGTACGTCTCTTTATTACAGTTCAATTCATCCGCCACTCGGTTCGGCTTTTGAATGTGTTGTTTATGTGTAGGTGGAGGAGACAAGATATGTGTTCGAGGCCAAAACTATACAAAGAATGGAGATTTTGGTACTCTCTTCCCTTCAATGGAAGATGAACCCTGTAACCCCACTTTCATTTCTCGATTACATAACAAGGAGGCTTGGATTAAAGGACTATCTTTGCTGGGAATTTCTCAGGAGATGCGACCACATTCTGCTCTCTGTCATTTCAGGTTAATTATTAGTACTAATCTTTACATAATTATTAGTAGTAATTAATAAAGATTGATTCTTTGTTAAATTCATCTGCAGATTCTAGGTTTATGTGCTACCTTCCTTCTGTAATGGCCAGTGCTACAATGCTCCACGTTGTTGATAGTGTGGAGCCTAATCTTGGAGTAGAATATGAAAATCAGCTATTAGGCATCCTGGGAATTGATAAAGTATTGTTTCTCTTACTCTTCTTTCAAATGTTGAATGTGCAAATTTATGTTAAATCCGGATTCATGTATTGAACCAGGACAAGGTAAATGAATGCTGTGAGTTGATAATGGAATCGGCAACAAGAGTATTCGAAGGCAACGAATCGAAGAAGCGCAGGTTTAGCACCGTCCCCGGAAGCCCGACCGGTGTGATTGATGTCTCGTTCAGTTCCGACAGCTCGATCGAATCATGGGCGGTGGCATCATCGTCAGTGTCTTCCTCACCTGAGCCTATGTCGAAGAAGAGCAGAACTCTGGAAATGCTAAGCATTCAGTGAATTTCCATCTCAATTTCAGGCTATAAATAGTGTAATATGTAATAATATTGATGTTGTTTTGTATGGATGGGAGTTAAATTGCTTACCCTCTCTGCTTTTTCCAAGCAAAACCCAGAAATCACATTGGTGTGGAAATCAGGGATCGTAGATGGTTTGCATTTTATAAGGACGAAACAAATATGAAAGCGCAGAGTCCATGCATTAATGCTAAGACATTTTTGTTCTACGGACATTGATGATAATTTCAGTATTATTTCCTTGTTCTTACACATGATTGAAATGAAAAAGAAGAGCGGGAAGAAGAAGAAATTGTGTTTGCATGTGATGGGAAGAACATGCTGTCGGCCACTGGCGGGGTTTTGGAGTAAATTTGGTGGGGGAGTTTGACCTCGTTTGAAGAGCCCCTATCAAACTGAATGATAAGTTTAGGAAAATAATGTTGGCGCCAACTTTATTTTTCACAAATAGGGTTGCATGAAAAATACTTTGGGATGTAAAGTGAGGTTGGAACTGGAAAAATGGTTCTGATGGAGTGTTGAGAAAAAATGATTGAAATGGACGATAGAGAAAAAGTATTTAATGAAGTAGGGCAAAATCTATAATTTTATTACAAGATTGTTGGAATACATGATATATTCTTGAACGATGATTGAAATATTCGGTGTCTTTAAAGTTTTCATCCATGGAAACTCAGTGATGAAAATCTCAAAGCGTTAGATGCTCTGTCCGTCTTTCAAGAAGATATGTATTCCTACCGTAGCACTTTTAACTTTTCTCTAGTTGAGGAAATAAAAAAGCAAAGGTAACACAATGAAATTTTTTTAAGGAGTTGAAATTAGTCGTTTCTTTCTTAACAAGTTTGATAGATTTTATTTTTAATTCAAATTTGTCGTGTTGACATTTCATAACTCATTATTTTTAATCATATTAAATGAAACTCTTTATAATAACCTTATGAGTTTATTTTTTAGATTTAATAATTCATTTTTTATTGTCAGAATTATTATATTATTTTAAATAATAGATTTTGAAAAATCCTATTCATTTTCTCTCTTTCTCTCTCTCTTACTTTTTTTCTCTTTATAATTTGTGTGAATTTCTATATATTAGATCAATTTTTTCTTCTTTGATTCTGTTTAGCCATGGCGGCACCAGTTTTGATGTTGATTGTTGACCGTCAGTTGTATCTTTTTTTAATTTTTAATAAGAATAATTACATCTTTGTGATATTTTTATCTCTGTCTTTATGACACGTTTATCTCTGCATTTGTGATATGTTTTTCTCTACCTTTTTGTAGTTTTCAATCGTTTGGTCATTGTTTTCGTTTATTTTTTTCTCAGAGTTGGATTTGACATCGACACGACAGATCAATATGACACTTATTTGTTATCATGTTAATCTTCTTTGCTTTGGATCCTCGGATTGATTTAAATACGCGTTTTGTGTTCGTGAATAGTTTTCTCATGTCGCTTGACTCTGATTTGTGATTTATCAGTGATCTTTCAATAGCTTCATCCCTTTTGTGGTTTGTTTGTAGATGCAGTCAAATTTGTTCGTATATTTATTTTATTCGTACGTTGGTTAAGTTTTTTAACATTTTCCTTCTTTAGTCCGCTTGTAATCTAAGTGACTAATTTTTGTGTCAATTGTTATAGGAAAATGTTCTAATTATAATTTAGTTTACGTTTACGTTTACGGCTATGTTTGTAAATCTTTATTGTAATTCAAGATATTTTTTATTTTTAATAAAACTAACGAGTTTCTATCAAAATTATTATACTATTTTTGGTTTTAAATATTTAAAAATAATAATACAACTCCTCAATTTAATTAACTTAATATTTTTATTCGATTTTACTTGATTAAATACTCATCCTTACTTTTAGTCACTGAATTACCATTATATTTTCAAGTCAAGCCCTTCCTCCTTCGAGGAGTAAACATACTGATTTTCAGTTGGATTGTACGAGAATCTTGAAGGATAGTGTCCATTTCAACAATTACACTGATCATTATAAATTTAATATTTATTTTAAAAACAAAATAATGTATTTTTCTAAAATGTTTACAATGGATCAAAATAAAAATCGCATACATGTAATTGACTAAAAATCAAAAACTTCATGTATAAATTTAATATTTATCCATTTAAATTTTAGAAAAATTATAAATATCCGCACATGTACTGCATAAATTTTCAATTACCAAATTTGGAAGCAGTGGAAGATAGGGACTCCAACCCTTAAAACCAATGTCAATGAAAATGAAATGCATGGAAAGAGAGCCCCCTCCATAACTTATACATAATATACAAAAATTCGAATTTTCTTAAGTAATTATTGATTTTATTGATGATGTTTATCATAAAATTTTATTTGTTTTTATTTTATATAAAAATTTTATATTATCGAGATATATATATATATATATGTCTATTCTCAAAATTATTTTTAAATCTGCTACAATGATTCTTATTTGTAAACTTAGAAGAAGAAGAAATGAGTAAACAAACCATATCATTTACTTCATCAAAAAAACAATAAAAATAGACTTGTCGTTTAAGAATTTTGCACCACCTAAAGTCATTGCTTTTATTAGTCAACAACATCCTATTTCTTAATAAAAAGTGATAGGGATAAATGGTCATACTTTAAAGTGGTTGAAGATGCAGGAAAGGCAGCAGTAAGCAATACCCCTTTAAACTAGAGGAGATTTTTGGCTTGGCATTTTTCTCTAACTTGTTATCCCATCAAAATCCTTTTATAATAAATTAAGACTCCCAAATTTGATTAAAACCACCTTTTTCTTTTTACTTTTTTTTTAAAAGAAAACCTTAATAGATGGGGAACTATATTATTTTAATTGTTTTTTTTTTCATCACATGTAGGCATGGACCAAAATGAAACAATGAGAGTGTCAAATATAATTAGTAAAAAGGAAAGAGTTAAGATCTAATTATTAAATTATCAGTTTAACACATTCCTAATCATTGCAAACCCTTAACGATAAAAAGGAAATATTGTTCTCCTAGAAGATTTGAGTTCAAATAATTGAGGATTTTGACATGAGGGGTAATTTGAACAATGCAAGGTGAAGGTGAGGGTATGATGGGAAAGGAGTAGGGGAGCTTATCGAGCGAGTCGGTCGCGAGTTGGATACTGCTTGACTCTTGCTCGTTAAAAAATTTTGTTGCTCGACTCGACTCATTGCACGTTAAGCTCGTTAAAATTTTGTTTGCCTCGTACTCGTTAAGAAAATTTGTTGCTCGACTCATTGCTCGTTAAGCTCGTTAAAATTTTGCTCGACTCGAGCTCATTAAGAAAATGTGTTGCTCGACTTCTTTGATGAATACATTAACATAATAATTAGGGTTTGATTTTAGTTTTTTAGTGAAACAATATTTTAAGATAATTATTGAAAAGTTAAAAAAAATAATGAATTGTTCGTGAACTTGTCGAGTCGAGTTGGATTTTGCTTAACTCAACTTGTTAAGGTCTCGAGTCGAGCTCGAGTTCAAATTAAGTCAACCCAAGTCAAGCTTTTACCAAATTTTAACAGAATCAAATTCGAACTGCTCACGAGCGGCTCAACTCATTAAGTACCCCAGCAAAGGAACAAAGAATTTTGGATTTACGAAATTCGATAGTGGTTATATGGGTTTAGGAATTGGGGAGGTGTCCCGAGATTAAAGATGAACATGAATGATGCTAAGGGAAGGTATAAGGGACTAATCAAGTAATTGAGCCTTTTATTTATCATGAATATATATTTTAACAATAAATGCACAAAGAATAACCATTGCTGACATTATTGAGTTTCAAAACTGGTTGTTTTCTTGTAACCCCTAAACACAGGCTATACATTTCGACTAAGTCTAACGGATTACATTAAAAGTTCTTAAAACATTTTCCAAAAACTTTATTCGATAATTTAAAATCATATACAATTAACATTCGTAAAAGTATAATTAAATAATGATAAAAACCCTACTGGTAAATATAAAACTAGAAATGACTAAGTGAAACAAAACATGTCATAAATCTAGATCATGATAAATTGAGTATCGGTAATCAAAAGTAGTAAACATCATCATAAATTAAGTACTTCAAAAAAATGCACATGACACCATAATTTAAAAATAGTTCGGAAGATAGAAACATTACAACAAAAAGTTCTTTAATAATGTGTCGATCCTCCGAGTACATGATTCGGGTGCCTATCCAAAAGTATCTGAAAGGGGGGAAATAATTTGAAAAGTGAGCTAGGGGCTAGTGTGTCCCATCAGTGCAATAAAAACATAATATGTAAATCAATCAAGTAATAGTCCAGTAAAATATCATGAAAATCCTGATAAAGTATAAGTTTTTAAAACTCATAGTTTACCCTCTTCCCGTACACCATATGTAGTTCCCCAAAACTACATCCATAGGGTTTACCTTAAACCCATCGGATATAAGGAGCCAACCTAAGGGCCGCAGAGCCTACCCAAGAAAGTTCTCGGGGCCGCAGAGCCTACCCAAGAGTCGCATTAGGTCCGTAAAGATTTACCAGCTTGATCAGAGCTGAACTTCCATACTCCAACCTACCCAAAGAAACCATTTCAATAAAACAGTTCACATAATGAGTAGTAATTTCCATGATTCGTATTCGGTAAAATCATATTATCTAGTGAAAACAATTATTAAAATATCATGCATCATTCAGTCATAGTTCATAATCCATCAACCAATAAATCATAATTTTTAGTGGAACATATATCCAATCAGATAAAACAATCGGGGTAGCACATAGGGAACACACCTCGTAAAATAGGGCACACATTAAAACTACTGAGCATCGACCTCGTCACGCTCTGCTACAGTGCTCGAACCTAATTTATAGCAAACTGAGTTAATATCAAAGTAATATTTCAATCGGGGTATTCATAAAGTTCACGATTCATACGAGTAACAATCGACTCACATGGTCTAACGGATCGAAAATAGTTGGGTCGAGCTGGTGAGCGATCAGATAAGTCTCGAGTATATTCAAATAACAACAATTAATCAGTCTCAAGTTTTACTTTAATTATTCTGAAATTAAAA